CTCGGCCAGCGCCGACGCCGGCGACGGCGGCGGCGACGACGCGCCTCGGCCGGCGCCCTTCGGCGGCACCTTCGGCGGCCCTCGGCGGCCCTCGGCGGCCTTCGGCGGCCCTCGGCGGCCTTTGGCCGCTTTCGGCGGCAATCGGTGGCCATCGGCGGCCCTCGGAGGGCAGACGACGGATTGGAGTGTAGCGCTGATGCCCTTAAGGGTAGGCGTAGCCCTCTGTGTCGGGTGGGGCTCGAGGAGGAGAAGGAGAAGGAGGAGGAGGAGGAACTCTTTGGAACTCTATGATCAACCAGAAGGGGTAGCAGATGCGCCCAATAGGAGGAGGAGAAGGAGGGGGAGGAGAAGGAGGAGGACGAGGAGGAGGCCGGTAAGGAAGACGAGGATAGGAAATTCACGATCGAAATGTTTGGGCGCTTTTGATTTGTTGTTTATCATTGTTTGCAGACCGCCTCCTCCTCCGCCGAGGAGAGGAGGGGTTGTGAGGAGGGTGTGGCGGGAGGACGACGGGGGGGAGGGAGGAGGAGGTAAGCGTGCGAGGAAGAAGGCGGACGAGGAGGAAGAAGGTGGGAGGCCAGCGTAGGAAAACAATGAGGAGGGGTCGGTCGGACTCGGTCTTGCAATCGTCTGAGCGCCGTCTTGCTGAAGGCTCTCACCCAGAGAACCAAGGAGGTACACATGTAGCTACCGCCACCCCCCCTAGCGAAGGAAGGCCCAGCCCTGAGCCCTAGGAGGCCCAACAAACAGAAACAAGAGGGCGGCAGACGGCGCGAAACGTTCGAAACGACAGTGCGGAACATAACAAAACCTATGCAGTCGCTCTGGAAAGGATGTGACAAAGAAGTGCGACCATCGAAACTGCAATGCAACCAGCGCGCTTGACCATCACAATGGGGAGGAGGAGGAAGAGGAGGAAGAGGAGGAGACGGGAAGAACACTACGCAGATCATGGGAAGCTGAAGCCGGCAACAGGCACGTGCGGATCATTGCGATGCTGATGACAGTGACGAGGAGCAGGAGGAGGAGGAGGAGGAGGAGGAGGAGGAGGAGGAGGAGGAGGAGGAGGAGGAGGAGGAGGAGGAGGATGGGGGAGGAGGAAGGGGGACCAGAGGGAGGAGGAGGGGGAGGAGGAGGGAGGAGGAGGTGCAGGAGGAGGGGCAGGAGGAGGGAGGAGGAGGAGGGACTGGACTGGACTGGAACGCTTACGACCCTGGTGAGTTCCAGTGTAGTGCGAGACTTAGCAAACGGGCACATGATATGTATAAGGATCTGCGGATAGCACGGCGCTATAGCCTGCAGCCTCGCTGGGGGGAAGCCACTGGCCCAAGGCAGGACCGTCCAGTGGGGAACAGCCCGTGACGGCCTACATGGGCACCATCCTCCCAGCGGCAGGCTCGCATCAGAAGAGAGTCGAAAGTCCCCTCCAATTCAATCCTAGGCCACGGCCCAGCAACGACACGACGAGGGAACGAAGGGGAACGACGGGCGAGAAGGAACAGGACACCGCCAACACACGCAAACACACACGCGAACACACGCAAACACACGCGCGAGGCCAGGAGAAGGGGGGGGGGCAAGCAGCAGCAGGAGCCGCGGGAGAGAGGAAGGAAAGGAGAGAGGGCAGCAGGCAGCGGAGGGGGCCGTGGCGTTATGTGCGAAACTCATTCTGCTCGGGTTCTGAAATCAGTGACGGTGGTGGTGGAGGAAGGGAAGGAGCAAGCAGCGCACTCGAAGCACGCGCATCAGCAGAGAACGGGGAGGAGCTGAGGTCAGTGGAAACCGTCCTGACCTGAGCGGCTCTCTGAAGAGCCTGAACCACCGTCAAACGAAACTCCAGGGGCTCCTGATAGTAAGCCTTAAATGTCACATTCCCCGAGGTGTATTCTAACATCGGGGTGGCTAATTTCTCTTGCAGCTGAGCAAGCTGGGAGTGTCCAAGGTGGCTCTCTTGGGCCAGCTCGAGCATGCGAATTGGCTGAGCGATGGCAGACGAGCGGGCGGGCTGCCTTATCCTCATGCGAGCGCGGGCCTCAGAAGTAGTAGATGCCGAAGTCGGGGCAGAGGGCGTCGCTAAAGCCGACGCACTATCCACTCTCTGAATCATTGCAGGGGGGGGGGGGCCTCCGAAGGCGCAGGGCCAGAGGTCCAGACATTAAGGCGTTGCACACCGACGGAGGGGGCCGACATGCCATCATCTAAGCCGCCAAGTGCATCTGAATCTCCTCTGAGGCCATCCCGAGCTTCGCCAGCAGACGCTCTGCATCCTTCTCCAAGGCCCCTTTGGGAGCCGCTCCAGCCTTGATCTTGCCGTTCTCTTGACGAATGCACACTTGCAGCGCCGCGTGGACCGTCGTCAGCGGCGTGCCGTCGATCGTAACTTGGCTCTGAATGTATGGGCTCATCATGAACTGCTGTTTGTAAGTGTCCGCCTCCTGCTTGCCAGCTTTGCCAGCTTTCTGGTCGAACCAGCGGCAGTAGCGTGCGTGCTCGGCTAGCAGGCAAAAAGTCTGTGTCCTGTAGTGCTTGAGAACCGCCAGCGCCTGACTCACCACTGGCTCCTTGTTGTCCGCTGGAGTAGTCAGGAAATGAGATACCATCGCCATGAATATGTAGGGCCACGGAGGCCCGTTGTCGTGCTGTTTCCCCCGCTCTTTGTAGTCCATCGCGTAGTCCCGGCCAGCCGTCTGCTTCATGTTGACGGGGGCGGCGTTGGTTGGCAGGAGGAAACACATGAACGTAGCGCCTGTGATTTCCGCGAGGTCGCGGGCATTGATGAAAGAAAGCTTGCGCAAGACTGTCAGCAGCGCCGCCATGATGCCTCCTTCCTTGCCCTTGAGCTCCTGACGAGCCTGGCCGACCACCTGTTGTTCCAGCCGCTGTCGTCGATCGTCGCCGCCTGTGTCCTGACTGGCCATGCGCTTCGCGCAGAGCTGCCAGGCTGGGGTGCTTGCCATGATCGCGACCGTCTAACAGTAGCGGCAACTGAATAAAGTGCGAGCGTATATGTTGTGAAAGTTCAGAAGGGTCAGACACCTGAGCCTCGCACAACGGGCAATCCAAGGACAAAGGTGTAGGTGTTCGGAATGTCGTACTGAGATTCGCCATGCATACTCCACTCTGGAATGAGTCCACCACATGTTTGTATACTGAGTTTCTTGATTCAAACGCACTGTTGCACACGAGGCACTGGTTATTAACCACAGCGGTCCCGGGAATAGATTCGAGGCCGTGATGGTTATGCATGTGGACCAGGACCTGGCGTTTACTCTGGAACCTTCTGGAGCACCCGTGAGCAGGACAGCCGTGCTCCCCACCTCTTGCCGCGCCTCGGGGTCCTCTGGAGTCTCAGGTGGTGGGGTCCAATTGGGGGGAGGGATGCGAACCGATAAGTATGCCGCTCTGATTTTTTTTTGCGTCGAAGAGCGTGAACCGATCGACCAGGTCGGAGTCAGACAAAGGGCGGAAAGGCTGCCCAGCAAACTGCTGCACCATACTGAAATCATCGTCCCCGAGCTCTGCCAGCGATGATATATCTTCCACAAATCTGCGAGCCCAAAGACATGCAGCCTGGGTAAGTCGAGCGTCGTCGCCCACAATCGGCAACTCGTTTGCGCGCTCGACCCGCGTGCTGCCTAGTAGTGCTCCCCATTCTGCAATGCGTCGTTTAGGACTCCCTACCCACCTCTGATACCGCCTTATCCTCCTCGCTCTAAGCTCATGTCCTACTGGGGCCATTTGCAAAAAACCGATAAACCTGCATGTTTGAAAGCGAGACCTTATGACCATCCTTTTCGTATGTTGCTCGTCCCCTTCATCGCCCTCCGTGCGTAGTGTAATACTCGTGCTTGTAGTCTATCCAGGTGCGCTTGTGTCAATATAAAAGCCTGTGCTCCAGAAACTGCTGGCCCTAGAACCCGAGAAAGAAATGCAGCTCGCATCTCAATCGGTGGAATACCATACTGATACCAATATCGGCCCATGCTGTGAACACCTGCATCAATTGCTGCGAGCCTGGCCGAACGCTCGCTGTTAAACGTGCAGTCTGCACGCACGAGGCCCCCAGCGTCTTGGCGAGGTCGCTGGGCACACCAGCTGTCGGGAGCACTTTGGCCTTAAATCTCGTGCGGCCAGCCTGCGAGCCTTCCCCGGAAAGGGCCAGCACCGTCTCATTCTTAGCAGGATTGAGGTAGTAGTTGTGGGTGAGGAGCTGATCGGAGAGGAGGGTGTTGTAGGACATCGATTTGGAGCTGAGCTCGGTATGAGACGCGGTGCCACTCAATTCAGTGGCCAGCGTCTTGGTCGCATCGTCTACATACGTGTGAAACGACAGGTCTAACTCGATAGGTTCCTCATCCTCCTCATCTTGCGGCACATCGACAATACACCAGTCTGAAGTCTCATCCTCCCCCTTCGATAAACGCGTCCTGGGTCTGCTCGAAAACCATATCTATGTCCCTGGTGAAGATCTTGACCGCCCACGCCCCCCCCTGGAGAGCTCCCGCATGAGGCTTGGCGAAGAGGAACCCGTCGGGACCTTGGAAGGCAGCCGCTGACCTCATAAAGCGCTGTTTACCAAAGCAGATCTCCTGGGGCTTCATAATGGCCTCGTTGGTGCTAGAGAGGTGAGTCCAGTCAGTGCTGCCGAAGGCGCTAGTGAAGTCCCTGTGATCACGAATATTCCGCAAGCCTAGACGTCTGAGACGCCAACTCAAACTCTGTTGAATCATCATGGCCGTCTCTCTTCGTCGTCCAGCCACGCAGCCATGAACAAAGAGAGGCTCCCGATCGCGCTGATCGGGTCGGAGGCCCGTGGCGATAAAGGCCTTGCCGAACGGGCGCAGCACGTGCACAAGCCTCTTACAATTGATGGCAATGCCCTGGGATAAATGCCAGACTACTGGTGTTTGTCCCGAACGATAAACTCGATGTAGAAATACCTTTAAGTAGTACCTGGTCCATTTCTGGTCAACCGTGGGAGTCTCATAGCCTAGCCCTCG